AAATGGCTCATTTTTTTACTTTTCCTCCATATCTCCGAAACCGCTAGACCTACCATCATGAAAATTTCATCGATTTTTCATCTTGTCAATACAAGTGAAATGTTTTTTGAATTATTCAAATCGAACGCTCCGTTCTCTTAAAAACTGAGTTACCGTTTTCGGCACTTTTTGCCCCGTATCTTCGGAACGGCTAGACCTGCCTTCGCCAAAAACTAATCAGCACGTCTCCTTATCAATACAAATCGAATGTTTTTTGAATTATTCAAATCGGTTGATCCGTGTTCCCGAAATCGTCGACGAAAATTTGTATCCGCACATACATACACACACGTACATACATACATACATACATACATACATACATACATACATACATACATACATACATACATACACACACACACACACACACACATACATCCATTTTTTCTAAGGTATGCCAAAATATTCAGAAACCTCTGAAACGTAAAGATATATAAAAATTTTCATTTTTGATTTTTTTGCGATTACTATAACTTGCCCTACGGGAAGTTAAAAATGTGTGATCGGATTAAAGGTCAAAATTAGCCTCAATTTCAATTTAGTTTGTATTGATACCATGCAGAATAGAGAAATCGAGCAGATCTGTTTTTTTTGGGATCTGAGGGCCGTTGAAAGAGAAGCTGATAAACCCGTCGGCAGCGTTACGCAGTTAAATTAGGAAATTACATTGTATAGTTATCAATCTCGATCAGCAAAGGGGATTCCTACTATTAAAATTACCATCAACTATAAACTTGGGCGCTAAAAAAGAGATTAAGTCGGAGAATTGAGAACTTACATGTAGTTACATGTAGTGATTTGACTTATAGTGATTTGACGTTGTCTTGCTCAATAATGGTGATACGCCGACCTACACTAAAGGCAACGCTCGATCATAGACCTCACTTTCATTAGCAGTAGCCTCGTCAAAGGAAACTCTAACTGCAGGGTAATGGATATCTACACTGCCAGCGACCATCATGCAATACTCTGAATAATATCGTTAGAACAAAACCTTGGAAGACCTATAAAGCAAGTTAACTGCGCTGGCTGGAAGGCAAAATCTCTTGACCAAGATGCATTGATAATAGCTCTGGACAGTAACACAAGCATCACTGGATGCGCAGAAAAAAGTACTAAGGATCTGATGAAAAGAGTGATCTGGCCTGTGATGCCAGTATGCCTCGTAAAAGTGGCATAAACTTAAGACCCTAGGTGTACTGGTGGAACGATCACATCAATGCCCTTCGTAAAGAGTGCCTAAAAAAAAAAAGAATATCTCAGCGTTGCTATCAACGACCTAACTCCGAGGAACTTATTGCACAGTACAGAAAATATTATCGTGCATTGAATAAGGCCATTAAAGAAAGCAAAGAAAGATGCTGGAAAGAGCCCATATGTGAGGTAAACAAAGACGTGTGGGGTAGGCCTTATAAGGTGGTTATGACTCGGCTGAAAAACAAGTGCAGATACCTACTTGACCACAATTCCTTTAGAAAGACGTAACTGCGCTGTTTCCACAGCAACGCAGTTTCAATTATCAGTTTGCATCAAGCGAACTGGATGACATTACACCAATCACTGAGGAATTGTTAAGGAAGGCTTGTAACCGTGTAGGAAATAATAAAGCTCCGGCATTGGATGGAATCCCCAACATTAGCTTTAAAAATCATCATTAACGCAGCGCCGTCACTATTCCTAGACGTCTACAACACATGCCTGAAAGAAGGAACTTTTTCCAGAAAGTGGAAACAACAACGATTTGTACTTCTCCCTAAGAGAAATAAGCGACTAGAAGAACCGTCATCCTACCGTCTACTCTGCATGTCGGATACGACTGGTAAGATATTCGAACAAATAATTCATCCAAGAATTGAAGCAATTGTTGACCCACGTCTGGCAGACAACCAGAATGGATTGCGGAAAAAACGATCAACCCTAGACGCGATAAATCTAGTTGCAGGAACAAAACGGAAGAACGATACGAAGGTGTATTGGCTGGTGGCTACACTAGATGTCAGGAACGCTTTCAACTGCGCAAACTGGGATAGCATTGTGCAAGCTCTTCAAGAAAATAGCGTGCCAGGTTACATGTGTATGGTATTAGCAAGCAACTTTACAGATTGGGTCCTGATATACAACACGAGGAACGGTTTAAAAAATATAATATAACCGGAAGTGTACCTCAAGGCTCAGTTCTTGGGCCACTACTGTGGAATGTTATGTACGACGCGCTTCTGAGACTAAAGATTCCATACGCGCCAAACTAGTGGCATATGCGGACGACGTAGCAGTAGTGATCATCGCGAAACATCTACACGAAATACGCCGCTGCTTTCCGGCTTATCTTCGTTGCTTTAAGCACGATGATTCTCCATAGTGCCCAGTTTGCAGAAGAGTTAATGAAGATGCATAGCATGTTTTCTTTGAATGTCCGCGGTTTAGTCCACAGCAAAATGAACTGGAGACAATCCTAAAGTATAGAATTCGACCAAAAACACTGATGGAAGCAATGCAATCATCAGAAGTAGCCTGGATCAGTGAAAAGCGAGTGAAAGATGTATAACATCTTTGGTATGAGGAGGAAAAGCAGTTGCTAGATTCTCTCTCACGAAGTAATGCCTAACGGCGGTTTCCGTGGGGTTTACCTACTTGAAAACATCAATTATGACAGCAATAGAGTCGCAAGCTACTTTGCAGACTAAATTCTGATGTACGATTCACGCGATGGTACAGAAGAATACAATATAACAGGAGGTGTGCCGCAGGGCTCTGTTCTAGGCTCTATGCTGTGAAATATTATGTATGATGGCCTTTTGAGACTGGATATTCCAGCATGTGTCAAACTAGTAGCATATGATTAGCCATAGTAGTTGTTTCCAAACAAATTGATAAGACCGTAAAAATAATTGCTGGATGGGAACAATGAACCTCCAATGGTCACAACAAAAAATTGAAGCTGTTCTTATCACGAGTAGAAAAACAATCGAGACTATCAACTTGAAGATAGAAAATTTAGAGATCACGTCAGAACCTCACATCTGTTACCTTGGCGTAATGCTTGATGCTTGATTTAATTTCAATCAACAGGTGGAACACGTTAGTTCTAAGGCGTTTATAGTTAGGACGAGCCTTGCTTTACTGATGCCTAATGTTGGAGGACCAAAACAAATTAGAAGGATATTACTATCATCAGTTGTTACTTCGGTGCTTACATATGGTATCTCTATATGGGCTGATTCTTTCAAAACGCAAAAAACGCGGAAAATGACAGGACCTATATATCATCTAAGAGCTTTAAGAGTTGTTGCGCATTTCGCGCAATATCGGAGAAAGCAGGGTGCATCATCTTAGTCTTAGCAGAGAAAAGATGGACAATCGAAGATGCCGAGCACGTGTTCTTTGTGTACCCGCGGTACTGGATGACGTAGTAAAGATATTGAAGCAAAGAATTACTCCAGATACTGTTATAGAAGTGATACCAACAACTGAAGCTGCCTGGAACGCCATAGAGAAAGGGCGAATGGGTCTTCGCTCATTTAAAAGATGAGTATAAAATCAGTGTAAGAATGATAACATTCTAGATTCTTTTTCACAAAGTAATGCTTAACCATTATGCTTATATAGGGTAAAGCTGAGGTTTTAGTCGGTGTTATACGCAGGCGATATTGAGTCCGACATACTCAGACAAAGGACCGGTCTGGGTAGCATAAATGCATTTCCATAAACAGTATTAACAATAACTAGAAACATAAAACATAAAATTATTTAAATAATCTAAAAACATCGAAAACAATTGTTATTAATCATGAATCATTTTTTATTGAATATTTAGTATTTTTATTTCTGAAATGAAAATGCAACGGAAGTCCGTTACGCCTGAACTGTTCGTCATTCGCTCTCGATGAAATCATTTCTATACGGGTCGATTGCGATTAGTCGTCGTGTATGTGAATAGACTTCTGTCGTTGTATGCGTACCGGGCGTACCGGCATCAACGTTGTATGCGTACGGCATAGATAAATAAACATTTTAAAGTGAAATAATTAATTAAAATTAAAGAAAAATGCCTGAATCAGATGAATATTTTACCCTGTTCCTTGAAAATAATAAAACAATTTAAACATTTGTGCCGTATACTAACCGTAAGTTTATTGATTAGAAATTATTTCTATATTATTTGTAGTTTCTATAAATCTTTGAAGTTATTAAAATGGAAAATATTTTTTAGTCGTCAGCAAAAAAGTAATAAAAATACAAGCAGTCAATGAATGTATGTTAATTTTAATTACATGGAGTTCTTCAAACACAATTAATGATGAGTGAAGTTTCGAAAACATTATTTGTTTAGGCGTTGTTTAACATAATCCACTGTGTGAATGAATATTATAGAATTTATTAATCAGCAATTACTTCATTTCGCTAATAAAGGTTCATTTCTAAATGCTAATTACAATGACAAACCGATCATGTCATATTTGAAGTATGACTTTAATTAAATTATTGTTTTTAAATATTATACATATTTTTAATGCTATTATAAATATATAATTTATAATTTATCATTATATAAATTGTGTATAATTGCTGACACTAATAAATGCATAATAAATATGTGCATCACGAGTGTTACCATATTACTAATAAACAATATTCAAAATTGTTATATGATGTGATGTATTCATAGATAAGTAAGCATAAATGGGTGTATTTACAGTAGCAAACAAGTTTTACTTCAATCGCGTGTGACCATACGCGCCTATGTTTACTTATCTATGATACGCGCACTCTTTTTTTTTTAATATTGGTATTGATTTGTCACACAAACACAACGCTGAGTCTCGTATCCCAAAATGTTTTGACAGTTGCCGGCATTTGCGACCTAGACAAGTTCTAGCATTTCTCTATATACATAACCAAATATTTGAAGTAAAAATTTTGTTATTTTCTTTATATTCCTGCTCTAACTTAGGAACTTATAAATTAATGAATTTAGTGGAGTGTAATTGTTATAAAATTTTAATTGTTTGCCCATTCAACATCGACTCAACGGTTTGATTTAAATAGAAGTTGTATTCTATTTACAAATAATCTAATAGTTCTATTAATTGTTTGTTATTGAATAATTCACAATGTCTTTGGCTGATGAACTTTTAGCAGATTTAGAAGATGTGGATTCCGGAGGTGAGGAGGAATCCGAAAAAACCGTAGAAAATCCTATTCAGGAAGAAACCTTCTCAAATTTGACTATGGAAATTGATGTGAAAGTAAAATCTATAAGAGAAATTGCTAAATTGAGAGATTCTGAGAAATTATCAAGAATTATGTCTCAAGTGCAACAGTTTATTTTAAAACCTAGAAGTAGTGATGAAATTATTGGGACTGTAGAATCAGATCCAGAATATCAATTAATAGTTGAAGCAAATAATGTTGCTGCTGAAATTGATACAGAAATAAACACTATACATTGCTTTGTTCGAGACAAATATCAACAACGGTTTCCTGAATTGGAATCACTAGTTGTAGCTCCATTAGAATATGTGCAGTGCGTAAAGGAACTTGGGAATGACTTAGATAAAACAAAAAACAATGAGATACTTCAACAATTCTTGACACAAGCAACTATTATGGTTGTTTCTGTAACAGCATCCACAACGCAAGGTACAGCATTGTCAGAAGAAAATTTGAATAAAATGAATGAAGCTTGTGATATGGCACTAGAATTAAATACATTTAAAAATAAGATTTATGAATATGTGGAAAGTCGTATGGCTTTCATAGCTCCAAATTTAAGCGCTATAGTAGGAGCATCAACTGCTGCCAAGATAATGGGTGTAGCAGGTGGTTTGACCAGGTTATCTAAGATGCCGGCATGCAATGTTTTAGTTTTGGGAGCCCAAAAGAAAATTTTGTCAGGATTTTCACATACCACTATGTTACCTCATACTGGATTTATCTATTACTCGGAAGTAGTCCAAGAAGCTAATCCTGATTTGAGGCGAAAAGTGGCTAGAATTGTTAGTACAAAAACAACATTAGCTGCTAGAGTAGATGCAGCCCATGCAAGTCCTGATGGCACTATAGGTAAACAATTCCGTGAAGATATTGAAAAAAAAATTGACAAATTGCAAGAACCTCCTCCTGTTAAATTTGCAAAACCTCTCCCCAAACCCATTGAAGGTGGGAGGAAAAAAAGAGGTGGTAAACGTGTGCGTAAAATGAAGGAACGATATGCAATGACCGAGTTCAGAAAACATGCGAATCGACTTAACTTTGCTGATATTGAAGATGAAGCTTATCAAGAAGATTTGGGATATACGAGAGGTACCATTGGTAAAGCAAGCACTGGCAGAATTCGCTTACCACAAGTGGATGAAAAGACGAAAGTTAGAATCAGCAAAACGTTACAGAGAAATTTACAGAAGCAGCAACAGTGGGGTGGAGCTACCAGTGTTAAAAAACAAGTCAGCGGTACTGCATCCAGTGTTGCATTTACACCTTTGCAAGGTTTGGAAATCGTAAACCCAAATGCTGCTGAGAGGAAAGTTAATGAAGCTAATGCTAAATATTTCTCAAATACATCTGGATTTTTATCTGTTGGGAAGAAGACAACTTAAATTATTTTATTAGGAAACAAATTATTATAAATCATGATACTCATCTTTATGTAAATGAAGATAAGTATCATCTTTAAAATGAAATTATTTTTATTTAAAATAACTGATAATAATAAAAGCAATCTGTAAATAATCATTGGAATTTTATTAAACTTTTAAATCATTTATTATAGCAGTATCAAAATCTACACTTCAATGCACATAAATTTTGAGTAACTATAATGTATATATAAGTACTCCAGTAAATGCTAGAAAAATAATTATTTCTTATTTAAAACTTATATTTAATAAATACATTTTTTAATTTTTTTAATAAAATATCAATTACATATTGATGTGTGTTAAGAGTAAAATAAAACTGTGATGCCTCTCGATCCTCTTTGCTTTTATAAATCTATATTGGCTTCATTTCAGTCATGTCATTTTTTAGAGTTTTTTTATTCATTGTAAATTCCACTTTAATGTCATCGTCATAGTCATCTCCCAGGAGTCTCCCTTTAACTTCTGATAAACTATTTCTATTGAACAACCTACAATAATCAAACTTAGGTTAACAACAAAATATCTTTCTATTTAATTTTGATCAAGTATTTCAATATAGTTAAAACAAATGAAATTACCTCATGCAGCTCGATAGCAAAATAATATTGACATGCTAAATGTTAGTTATGCATGTGCTGCTAATTACATCTTATATTAGTTCCAATTTGAGCAAAATGCTGATATTTCAGAACCCAATATGTTTAGGGTCACTGATATATTTAGTCAAAGTGAATTGAGAATTTTACTCCTATGACATTTTCCCATGTTAATAAAGTGCAGGTTACTTGTTCGCAATGTTAAGTTTATTATTAATAATTTTGAAGACTTCACCAGTCGACATGTTTTATATTCATATGCTTCATAAAATTAATTTCAATTACTTTAAATACTTTTGATAGAAAAATTAAAAACTCATTTAAACCAGTAAATAACAAACTAGTGGGGTGCATGGCATCGTTCCTTAATTACGGTATGGAACCCAAAACAAATACACAAAATGTGTACACATTATTAAAATCTCTATAAAATATCTGATAAGTTGATGTACACATGTTCATAAACATTTTTGACCGCCAAAAGACATTTATTCAACTTATTGAGAATCTATAACCGCTGGACCAGCTTCCCCAAAAATTTAATCAGTTCTTCATCTTGTTAATACAAGTAAAATGATTTTTGAATTATTAAAATCGGACGCTCCGTTCTCTTAAAAACCGTTTTTGTCACTTTTTGCTCCGTATCTTTGAAACGGCTAGACCTGCTTTCGTCAAAAACTAATCAGCACGTCTCCTTACTAGCACAAATCGATTGTTTTTTGAATTATTCAAATTGGTTGATCGGTGTTCCCGAAATCGTCGACGAAAATTTGTATCCGCACACACATACACACACACACATCAATTTTTTCTTAGGTATGCCAAAATGTTCAAAAACCTTTAAAACGAAAGATATATAAACATTTTCAATTTTGATTTTTTGCGATTACTGTACCTTACCCTACGGAAAGTTAATAAAATTTAGTTATGCCTCAATCTCTAACCTGCTTAACTCTAATAATTTTTTGCTCAATAATGATAAAACTCAAAGTTATTACATTTTGAAAAATTTATAAAATGAAGAGACTATTCTCTAACTGACAATGGCACTTTGTTTGAATTTTCCTCTGTATATTAATCTCGGACAATTCTTATATTTGAATTATTAAAATCTCATTTTATATTGAGAATATGTAAATTCAGTTTAGATTGTTTTTGAATAAGTAATCGGGTTCTTAAAATTTTACGCTGCGGATATCTAAAGGACTGCTTATTTCTCAAAAACTTCACAAGCTCTT